AGTATACGGGCTAGTGCGTTGTAGGTCTTTGCAAAAGAAAGTGTATCTTGGATACTGGTCGATTGGAGACTTATTTGTTTACAACCAAAAGGCCCAAGCTCATTAAGCGAGCCTTTGGAAGGGTTAAGAACCCTAAGACGTAAAGCTCTTGAGCTTGTCTTTCTCTCTGCACTAAGGGCATCAACAGCTTTGCTACGGTAGCTCTGCTACGGCAGCTTTGCTACAAGCCTCATGTTTTCGTCATCTTTGCCCGATCCTGTCAGTTCATATTTACGTATGTTTCAGCTTTACGGATGCAGTATCACAGCAACCTTTATCTTTTTGAAGTTCTCCACTGTCGCTGGCAGTGTAATCGACTAGGTATACGCAGGGTGAGGAGCCAGCAGTTTGATGGAAGATAGCGTAAGAGACATGAATGACAGTAGACGCACTATAATGGCTACGATGTCAGAAACGAAATGGTTTGAGTCACGTAGTAATGAGCTACAATGACGTATGATACAGAAAAGAGGATTGTTAGCGTTTCTTATGCTTCTCATGGAATCATAACTCGACCAGACAGCTGGCAAGTCTACAAGTCTGTAGCTATCTACGAATGCAATAGAGAGCTGCAATAATATGATGGATCAAGGCTCAAGCAATAGCATACTACATGCTGCTATTTATTCGTGTGAAACTCGATATCATGCGCCGTAAACATGTATCACAAGGCTACTGAATAGGACAAATGATTTACCATCTTTTTGTCATAAAGATTCTTCATCTTTATACAAACGTACGGACTGATATCATTGCCGCAAAGGCTATCGTATTGAAGCCAAAAGTGTATGGCGCTATCTTTGACATGGACGGTACACTGCTAGATACGGAGGAAGTGAGTCGTCTTTCGATTGATATGAACGTACATCGGTTGAATAAGGAATTTATTAGGGCTATGCACAAAATAATCCTGGGTCGTCCTGCTGTCGAACGGACACGCACGGCAATTACGACCACTGGTTTTAGCGAAGAGATCATCACATCCTGACATTCGTATTCATACGAATGACAAACAGAGAGCTGAGATCTTTGGCAATGCTGATGATGTAACGGGTTACACAGACGTGTGTATTGTACATACACACCTCCCATACCATTGTGATGTGGCTGTATCTTGTGTATAGTGGTAGGTTGATGTGACCGTACCTAAGGTACAACGAGTCGCACCGTGGCAGAGAGCCACGTGGTCACTATACTTAGGTAAGTATATTGATTATGCATGCTTACCTATTAAAATATTCTAGAAAACTAGTAAATAGTGACAAGCACTAAGTATAGAGTAGGTGCTTCTATATTTAGTGCTTGAAGATAAACATTCAAAGAAATCAGTTTCAAACCTGTTTAGAATAGTATACGTGCTAGTGCGTTGTAGGTCTTTGCAAAAGAAAGTGTATCTTGGATACTGGTCGATTGGAGACTTATTTGTTTACAACCAAAAGGCCCAAGCTCATTAAGCGAGCCTTTGGAAGGGTTAAGAACCCTAAGACGTAAAGCTCTTGAGCTTGTCTTTCTCTCTGCACTAAGGGCATCAACAGCTTTGCTACGGTAGCTCTGCTACGGCAGCTTTGCTACAAGCCTCATGTTTTCGTCATCTTTGCCCGATCCTGTCAGTTCATATTTACGTATGTTTCAGCTTTACGGATGCAGTATCACAGCAACCTTTATCTTTTTGAAGTTCTCCACTGTCGCTGGCAGTGTAATCGACTAGGTATACGCAGGGTGAGGAGCCAGCAGTTTGATGGAAGATAGCGTAAGAGACATGAATGACAGTAGACGCACTATAATGGCTACGATGTCAGAAACGAAATGGTTTGAGTCACGTAGTAATGAGCTACAATGACGTATGATACAGAAAAGAGGATTGTTAGCGTTTCTTATGCTTCTCATGGAATCATAACTCGACCAGACAGCTGGCAAGTCTACAAGTCTGTAGCTATCTACGAATGCAATAGAGAGCTGCAATAATATGATGGATCAAGGCTCAAGCAATAGCATACTACATGCTGCTATTTATTCGTGTGAAACTCGATATCATGCGCCGTAAACATGTATCACAAGGCTACTGAATAGGACAAATGATTTACCATCTTTTTGTCATAAAGATTCTTCATCTTTATACAAACGTACGGACTGATATCATTGCCGCAAAGGCTATCGTATTGAAGCCAAAAGTGTATGGCGCTATCTTTGACATGGACGGTACACTGCTAGATACGGAGGAAGTGAGTCGTCTTTCGATTGATATGAACGTACATCGGTTGAATAAGGAATTTATTAGGGCTATGCACAAAATAATCCTGGGTCGTCCTGCTGTCGAACGGACACGCACGGCAATTACGACCACTGGTTTTAGCGAAGAGATCATCACATCCTGACATTCGTATTCATACGAATGACAAACAGAGAGCTGAGATCTTTGGCAATGCTGATGATGTAACGGGTTACACAGACGTGTGTATTGTACATACACACCTCCCATACCATTGTGATGTGGCTGTATCTTGTGTATAGTGGTAGGTTGATGTGACCGTACCTAAGGTACAACGAGTCGCACCGTGGCAGAGAGCCACGTGGTCACTATACTTAGGTAAGTATATTGATTATGCATGTTTACCTATTAAAATATTCTAGAAAACTAGTAAATAGTGACAAGCACTAAGTATAGAGTAGGTGCTTCTATATTTAGTGCTTGAAGATAAACATTCAAAGAAATCAGTTTCAAACCTGTTTAGAATAGTATACGTGCTAGTGCGTTGTAGGTCTTTGCAAAAGAAAGTGTATCTTGGATACTGGTCGATTGGAGACTTATTTGTTTACAACCAAAAGGCCCAAGCTCATTAAGCGAGCCTTTGGAAGGGTTAAGAACCCTAAGACGTAAAGCTCTTGAGCTTGTCTTTCTCTCTGCACTAAGGGCATCAACAGCTTTGCTACGGTAGCTCTGCTACGGCAGCTTTGCTACAAGCCTCATGTTTTCGTCATCTTTGCCCGATCCTGTCAGTTCATATTTACGTATGTTTCAGCTTTACGGATGCAGTATCACAGCAACCTTTATCTTTTTGAAGTTCTCCACTGTCGCTGGCAGTGTAATCGACTAGGTATACGCAGGGTGAGGAGCCAGCAGTTTGATGGAAGATAGCGTAAGAGACATGAATGACAGTAGACGCACTATAATGGCTACGATGTCAGAAACGAAATGGTTTGAGTCACGTAGTAATGAGCTACAATGACGTATGATACAGAAAAGAGGATTGTTAGCGTTTCTTATGCTTCTCATGGAATCATAACTCGACCAGACAGCTGGCAAGTCTACAAGTCTGTAGCTATCTACGAATGCAATAGAGAGCTGCAATAATATGATGGATCAAGGCTCAAGCAATAGCATACTACATGCTGCTATTTATTCGTGTGAAACTCGATATCATGCGCCGTAAACATGTATCACAAGGCTACTGAATAGGACAAATGATTTACCATCTTTTTGTCATAAAGATTCTTCATCTTTATACAAACGTACGGACTGATATCATTGCCGCAAAGGCTATCGTATTGAAGCCAAAAGTGTATGGCGCTATCTTTGACATGGACGGTACACTGCTAGATACGGAGGAAGTGAGTCGTCTTTCGATTGATATGAACGTACATCGGTTGAATAAGGAATTTATTAGGGCTATGCACAAAATAATCCTGGGTCGTCCTGCTGTCGAACGGACACGCACGGCAATTACGACCACTGGTTTTAGCGAAGAGATCATCACATCCTGACATTCGTATTCATACGAATGACAAACAGAGAGCTGAGATCTTTGGCAATGCTGATGATGTAACGGGTTACACAGACGTGTGTATTGTACATACACACCTCCCATACCATTGTGATGTGGCTGTATCTTGTGTATAGTGGTAGGTTGATGTGACCGTACCTAAGGTACAACGAGTCGCACCGTGGCAGAGAGCCACGTGGTCACTATACTTAGGTAAGTATATTGATTATGCATGCTTACCTATTAAAATATTCTAGAAAACTAGTAAATAGTGACAAGCACTAAGTATAGAGTAGGTGCTTCTATATTTAGTGCTTGAAGATAAACATTCAAAGAAATCAGTTTCAAACCTGTTTAGAATAGTATACGTGCTAGTGCGTTGTAGGTCTTTGCAAAAGAAAGTGTATCTTGGATACTGGTCGATTGGAGACTTATTTGTTTACAACCAAAAGGCCCAAGCTCATTAAGCGAGCCTTTGGAAGGGTTAAGAACCCTAAGACGTAAAGCTCTTGAGCTTGTCTTTCTCTCTGCACTAAGGGCATCAACAGCTTTGCTACGGTAGCTCTGCTACGGCAGCTTTGCTACAAGCCTCATGTTTTCGTCATCTTTGCCCGATCCTGTCAGTTCATATTTACGTATGTTTCAGCTTTACGGATGCAGTATCACAGCAACCTTTATCTTTTTGAAGTTCTCCACTGTCGCTGGCAGTGTAATCGACTAGGTATACGCAGGGTGAGGAGCCAGCAGTTTGATGGAAGATAGCGTAAGAGACATGAATGACAGTAGACGCACTATAATGGCTACAATGTCAGAAACGAAATGGTTGTTGACCTATACCGATCATGCGTCGTTACGCACAGCGACACAGTCGCCTCATCTTTCCCAGAAAAAGGCTCGTTCTCTCTCCTTTTTCGCGGAGTATAACTTCGAGGTGAAGTATAAGCCGGGAAAACAGAATGATTTGGCTGATGCGTTATCGCGTAGACCTGACTATGAGCTTAATCATATTATGTTGTAAGTTCGTCAGTAACGGATTGTATCCGTGTGGCGTATGCACGCGATGAGGCATGTGATGTCGTTCTGCAGGAGCTGGGTAGCGCAGAGTTTAAAAACTTTGAAGTGAAGCTGTCACCACGTAATCGTTCGAGATTACATCGTTATTCACTGACTGATGGTCTGTTGTACTATAGTATATTGTGTTTATGGAACACGAGAGCTGACCAAACCATTCCCATATAATGGAGTGAAGCCTGTCAAGGCATGCACCGCGTTGTTCAACGCAACCTCCACCAGAGGAAGTATCGCGCTCAATTGATTGGGTGTTTCAGCACAAACACTCCGAAGCATATCGCCAATAACGCGGTTGACGCGTTCAGTCTGACCATCGGACTACGGATGATCCGCCGTGGACATGTCCAGTCGAGTGCCGAGCACTTTAAAGACTGACGTCCAAAACTTACCCGTAAAACGGGGTCTCTATCCAAGACGATTGCCACAGGCAATCCATGTTGTCTAAACACACGATCCACAAACGACTGTGATGTTCCTTCTCCATTGATGGAGTCCGGCACGGCCGCTAAGTGATCCATCTTGCTCAGTCGGTTACAAAGACCACAATCCCAGTGTTGTCTGCCGCATCACGCGGTAGCCAAACACGAAGTCCATACTAATGGACTGCCACAATCCCGAGGGAACAGGCAAACTCGCCAAAGGCACAGCCATAGTAGGCAAGGCTTTTACCCTTCGATACGTCTCACACGTGCGTACATATGTACCAACCCATTCATACAACTTGGGCCACCAATAATGGATGCTTACCAAGCTGTAGGTCTTTTCATGAATTATTACCAAGTGGTGTATCATTAGCCTCATAGAGTATCTGATACTTGAGGTCCTCATCATGAGGCACCACAACACGAGGCTGGTCATCCGACCCCCCCACCCTGCCACAGTAGGGCTCAGTGGGGGAGAGATAGCCGAAGTCTTGGCGGATATCAGCCCTCTTACGATTCGCAAGAAGGTGGAAGCGTTTCTGTCAACGCGTTTTGACGTATTACGTCGCGTCAAAGACGCTATGGCTGAAAGCTAGGATGTTCAAAAGGAACACACGGATTCTAAAGGCAGAAAGAACGATCGAGAGTTCAAAGTGGGTGATTTTGATTTTATTAAATGCTAGGAATTTACCTACTCGTGCCGTTGTGGCAGTATATAAAACTAAATTACGACCACGCTTTATTGGACAATTCAAGGTCATGAGCAAGAAAGGTTTATCCGATACGCTGAACTTTCCGAAGTAGATGCGAACACATCCTGTGTGGGCTTACTTAAGCCATACCTCAACTCTGCCTCGGTGGACTCCGAGGGGTTGTCCCCATATCCCCAGCCAAGAAGGCGGGTAGCACGGCACCGGAGGTACATATGGACGCTGGAGGCGTACCAGGAGGCCAAGTTGAACTGAAGCTCGGCCTGAGAACGCCCAATCGCCGCTAAGCGATCAGAGGTCTCAGAGCGATAACGCTCAAAGGATCGATGGTGTTAATCGACACGGTCTCACATGTCATCGATCGATGACATGTGAGACGTCACCGATCCAAGAGCATCACGCTCCAGAAGTATCAGGCGATGCACGATTTGAGTAGAGTCATGAATCGATAGGTCACCGACCCCCGCCAACGCTGACTCATGAGCTGGGTCATCAACAGTTTTACGTCGAGCGTCTATTCGCTTGACGTCGTCACCAGGGGCACACCCAGTACCTGGTAAAGTGGAGGGGGTGCCTCAGTCGTATGACTCGTGGAAGTACAAGGTACCCCTAAGGCAGGACTGCCCGGACGTCGTTGAAGCTTTTGATCGGGAAGATCAGAAGCGGTGACAGCAGTCGCCGGATGCTTCCTAGCACTAAGTGCTGTGGAAGTAAGGTCAGAAGTTAGTCTTTACCACTGACCTTCTTGGGAAGCAGTTGCTGGTACCTCACTTGCGTGAAAAGCACTATAATCTGCTTCAGAAGCAAAATTTACGGCGTATATGGCTTTGTCTATATAATACGCAAGGCGTAAAGACTTGGGGAGCTCAAAGAGCAAGTGAATATAGCACGCTATGGCTTCATGAGCATGTGCTGGGCACACTAAAATAACTGTGAAGCACTTAGCTGCTATATAAGCCCGCGTTAATCATAATGAAGCTTTATAAGCAAGCTAGCGACACTTTGGGGCTATATATAAGCAAGTGGTACACAATGTTGTGCTTTATAAGCAAAAGTAACATTTTGGGGCTTTTATATAAGCAAGTGTGAAATACTATGAAGTTCTGTCAGAAGTGTACAACACATTAAGATTATACAAGCAAGTGTTTTAAACGCTAAAAGGCTTTACAGAAGTAAGCGTTCAACACTAAGGTGCGTCACAAGCACGTGTTAAACAATCAGGAGCTTTATATGCACGTGCTAAATATTTAGTTGCTTTATAAGCTAGTGCTGACCACGAAGGTGATTTTAAAGCAAGTGTTAAGCGAAAATGTGCTTTATAAGCAAGATTTGAACATTGAGGTGCTTAATACGCTAGTGTTATACTCTATGGTGCTTTCTAAGCTACTGTTGGATACTATGGTGCTTATACGTTAGTGTTGAGCGCAAATGTGCTTTTTAAGCAAGTGTTGAACTCTTAAATGCTTTATAAGCTAATGTTTGACACAAATGTGCATTATAAGCTAGTGTTCGACACTAATGTGCATCATAAGCTAGTGTTAACATTACGTTGCTTTGTGAGCAAGTGTCACACACTTATATGCTCAATCGCTTATAAGCAAGTGTTGTGAATACTGTATTGCTTCAAAGCTAGTGCTAGGCACCTTGTGTTGTGTAAGCAAGTGTTCGTGAACACAAAAAGGGTATTAATACCAAGTGATTGGCACTTAACGCTTATAAACAAGTGTCGTAACACTTAATGCTTTCGCGTGAGTGCGATGCACTATATGCTTAAAGAGCGAGTGTCGTAACACAAGGATGCTTATAAAGCGTGTCTGCAATGCACGGGTGCTCAAAGAGCAAGTGTTAGAAACACAGAAGCTTTAGACGCAAGGAAGCAAAATGGGAAAATCGATGGCTCCTAATAAGTGCAAACTTTGTGGGTACGTCGGGTCCCACGGATTGGTGGGGGAGGGTGTAACGGGATTACACGAAGGTGTGTATTTTACATACACGCCTGTCACACCAATGTGGTGTGGCTGTACCTTGGGTACAAGAGTATTAGGCTCGATGTGACCTTACCTAAAGTACGAACGGTCGCATCGTGGCAGAGAGCCACGTGGTCACTATACTTATTTAAAGTATAGTGACTGTACCTGTTTGCATAATAATAAAAGGCTAAAGAGCCAGTAAATAGTGACTAGCACTAAGTATAGAGTAGGTGCTTGTATATTTAGTGGTAGAATTAGAACATAAAATAAAAGTTTCAAACCTGCTCTGTAAGCCTTACAGCTTGAGCATCCTATTCATTCTAAGGAATCAGTATCTTTGATACTAGTCTCTCTGAGACTCGGTTGTAACAACCGATAGACACAAGCTTACTTTCGAGCTAGCCTAGGAGGGTTAAACTCTCTAAGACGTAAAAGCTCTCTGAGCTTGTTTTCCTCTGCACATAGTGCATACGTAGCTTTGCTACAGTAGTTTGACTACTTCTGTGCATAGTGCATAAGTAGCATAGCTACAGTAGCTCGGCTACATAGGAGGGTTATGTACCCTAAGACCTAGAAACTCTCTGAGCTTGTCTTCCTCTACACACAGTGCATAAGTAGCTTGGCTACAAAAGCTCGGCTACAGAGGTGGAGGAGGAGTTGTGGCAGTAAAGACAAGTCGTGCCTTTAGGCCACTAAAATTTCTCGAGTTTATTATGAGGTCTTTGATCCGATCCCATGAATCAACACTGAGTGTACAATACCTCCGCAATTTAAGGTATACACAACTTTGTTACAACGAAACCTTGACACTTACAGCATTGACGAAAGAAGTCGTTGTTGTGGGCAGAACCTGCATGCAAACGGGTACGATCAAGAGTCGTGAGTTTGCATCCTGTCCGCGCATGAGCCATAAGAGTTTACAGTTTTATGGCAGTGCCGGACGGTCAACTAATAATTGTTAGTTGTGAGCGACAGCAACAAAAATTAAACACTTGGATGAACCGCTTGATCATTGCTGTCATTCACGTCCTGGGGTCATGGACGAAAACGAATATGCAACATTGTAGGGCGAGCTCTTGGTATCCTAGGTTAAACGTTTGTCATTCCGTTTTTTTTCACAGTGCTCACGCACCCTTCGCTTTCACCTTAGGTGGACGTAGCGCGCAAATGAGTCTGTAAATATGAGCTAGCAAAATAGTGGCAGGTGTCAGGGCATAAATTGCAAAGATGAGTGGCTCCTGCGGCAAGTGACAAACCGTCACTTCAAGTTGGTCCGCTTTGACATTGCTAGCGCGGGGTAGCCTCATTAAGGCGTAACTCGGGTCAGGGCGTTGCCCCCACGAAAAAGCAGGAATGGTATACTCCATAGTAGTTGTGCCACGGTGATGGTACGCGCACCACGCGTGGGTGTGGCCCGACAGTACCACGCTTGGTTGTACCTTACCCAGCAGCTCCGCAGACAGCTCACGCGATAGCACATGTTGGTGGGTATCGTACTCAAAGCCTGGATGCTCGTACGTGACATGTCCTGACTCGCGAAGTCGATCCTCTCCGCATTGAAGATCATTCATGCGAAAGAGAGGTAGATGTGTGAGCAGGATAATATGACCGGCCGCACGCGCTCGCAGGTCGACAAAGTTGATGCTCTCTAGGAAGCTTCTCGCTTCTTTCCTCACGTCGCTGCTCATTACATCTGAGTCTAGCGCCATCGTATTGAGACTCACAAACGTATGCCCTCCAATCTCATCGATGCGGTTCGCAGCCCCAAACGTGACTTCATAGCGCTTCAAGTCCTCCATCCTCATGTCACGTCCAAACGATGTGTCGTGGTTTCCTACCTACAAAGTACAGTAAATTGGTCAGTTCTACCGCTTTATAAGTGCACATATTTGCACCATCTCCGCACCAAGTATAGCGTCCTGAGCGGCAAGCAGCTGGAAAAGGCTCGAATGAAACGCGAAATGTACTCGTCCCAATCCGATTTTGGCGTATATCGACTGCTTTCATCCAATTGGTCACCGAGAACGAGCGCTACATCTGGATTGTGCACGTCCACTGCCGCCCTAGCGGATGCATGCACTTGCAAGTCTACCCACAAACGCTCGATCAATGAGCGCCGCCTCTTGCCCAGCAGATGCACGTCTGTTACGGCCAGCACCGTGAGCATATCCTCCGCATTCGTTGCATTAGTCTGGAATTGCAGCTGACAACGCCACGCCTGCAGGTAAAAGACGCCGGCTTGACACAGCAACACTATCGTTGCAACCAGCAACACCCATCGACTTGAAATTAGTGCCATAAATAAGAAGATATTTTTATCAAACTTTTTTAGCAATACTTATTGATCTATTTCTTGCAATTCGTTCAAACATTCACGAGTATGCAATTAATTCAGGGGACCGTACAATTTATATTTTTTTACTTTTGTTAATGTGCACTTGTCTGGTGTCATCTTGAATACCGGTATACCGAGATATTTCTGAAAAAATGAACGAAATGCTGAGAAGAGAAAAGTACTTTTGAGTTTGAAGTGTATCTCGGAATAGTTACAAAGCCGTTGATCCGAGTTCAGCAACTTTGTAAGAAAATGTCTATATTGAATAGAGGTCATGGCATCTGATTCAACCATGACTGTGCTAAGACGGAGATGCATTTTAACCATTAATGATGATGCTCGAAGGCATCAGCTGATAGTAATCTAGATTCAACGTTACTGATTTCGACACAAGTACTTGCGATTTCTCGGTTTGTCTTACCTTATTGCTCAACGTCAAAACTCAAGACCATGGGAAACGCAGCACAGATAATGGCGCCAAACCAGCTTTTGTGGTCTTCCAGGGTCGATGAAGGAGATTAACGTAGATTCTGCAACTTCTTTTTGATAATTGCTGACGAACTGATGACGTATCAAGATTCGATACATGCCATTATGTAGCACGGGGTACTTCGGTATTCACAAAGCATGTACAATTGCGGTTCATCGTCGTGTTTTGCCGTTCTTAGTCTAGTTTTTTGCTCTTGATTGTCGCTAATTCGCTCACTGCAACAACGAGGGTCCAGGTTTTCTATCGGGCTCCATTGCTTTATTTAGAAGGCGACTTGCCTCGCGCTTCACACACTCACCCAAAGGTTCCGCATTCAGAATCGGTCCACTGGTCGATAAAAAATGCCACAAAACCTATAAAAACCCACTGCTGCACATCGATATATTTAGCTACAAGACGTACCGGCAATACGGACACTCTTGACGCGATAACAAGCGAAGGCACGGGGCACAGATGTAGTGCTCGCACTTGAAGAGCATGACCCTAACGGACGTAAAACTCATCCAGCAGACTCTGGAACAATACAAACCCACAACGACACATTTGTAAGTCCAAGCATCAAGAAACGCGATTGGCAGCTACGTAAGCATCACGCACCCGCATTCCATGCGATCATCTGCCATACGCTGCGGTAGTCCCCGTGCAACGTCGTAGCGTACTTGAAATCTCTTCAGCGGGATGTCGAACTGCAGAAAAAGCGGAGCTGTTGATACGCTGTTAGTCTCAAAGTGATATTGACATCTGATGAGATTAACTTACAGAGGCAGTTGATGACGGAAGGCATGGTGATGGAATACCAATTACTCCTTGTGCGAGAATCCTTAAAGAAGTCGCTGAGTAATTTACCAAGCCACTCGCTCATTAGTAGGTCACCGACACTTCCGAAAAACATCTTGATAGCGGGTTGTGTAGATAGAGCAGCTTGGTGGTTAACATCAACTTTATTGCTGTGTCCAACCAGATGAACTGGTGAATCCAAAGGAGACTCATCGACTTGTAAGCTTTCATCGCTTGGCTTCCCAAGCATCCAGTCGTCAAAGGTCAGCGAATACGCCTCTTTGAGTAACTGCAATAGCTTGAAAATAGTATCACCGTATCGAGCAAATAATATAAAACATAAGTTTGACAAACGGGAGGCCGCCGTAGCGTGCAATGCTGTTGTAGCGCACCAAATTGATTCTTTGGGCTTTGCAAGAGGAATAATATTTAACAGCTCGTAAAAGAACTTATCTAACTCTCTTGAGCAGATCGTCGCCACATACCCGGAAGCATTGAGACCACGTAAGGAATCCACACGAACTCGAAATTGTCGTCGAGACGGACTCCATACGTGGATCACACGACCTTGCCCATAGTATAATGCGTACGTGCACTTTTCGATAAAACCCTGCCCTATCTGGACAACATCACCGATATGAAAGCCCCATTGTTGGTCTTCTTTCCTCTGCCAAGGCAGGTCTACAGCACTTTCCGTATCAGCTTCGCTAGGTTGCATTGCCGGCTACACTAGCGGCCTACAGTCTTTTAAGAAATTCAACAAGTGAGATGTTTTTTCTTACAAGAGACGCAATTACTTCAATGGTCTTTCTCAGTCAATGGTCAATGATTGAATCGTGAGCCATGGTTGTCGCTGGCTTGTCTCTCTCAACCAAGGTGATGTATACATCGGGAACAAGAGACCATTGCATTGATGTGATAGACAAGTATTTAAACCAAGTGCTTATTGATCCTGTGCTTATCATCCGAAAAGGTCAAGTTCTGTTGCATAGTGCATTTTGTATTGATGCCGTAAGCTTCTATATAAAGCCAATATGTCGCTTGTCAGGTGACGGAAGCTAAGAGCGACGGGAACAGTGCCAGTTCTGGTTCCATGTTTAGAAACTCACGGTAAGAGCTCGATTTGGTAAGGCAAGCGTCGTAGCATGCATAGGTTTCAGCCGACACTTTCATATGGAAACGCTCTTGCAGCAACGACACGTTTTGTGCTCGTATAGGAAGCAAATATACTTGCTTGATCGTAGTACGCACCCAATCCAAGCGATGAGATGACACCTATGTAGCAAAAAGTGTGTGCTATGGAGGATGCTGAAGTAGTTTGTCAATACAGCTGGAAGAGTTTGTGGATGATGAGTCTCTAAAGCTCTGACAAGTAGAGACTAGTACAGTGCATTTATCACCTGATGTTGCGAGAAGGCTATATACTACCGCACACTCATGGCGGCACGCATCTTGCATAAAGCTGTGATCTGAGGTTAGCAGCCACGATAGACGCGTTTAGTCATACAAAACACGAAAGCCCACAGATTGGTTTGATCCTAAAAACGCAGTGTTTCCATTGATTATAAACATGACAGCTAGCCTCTAGCTGCAAATCACTTACTATCAAACACAAAATATCGACTATCGTGCTTTCAAGTAAATAATGTTTAAATGCAGTAATCCACGTGACTACTCTCGCAGTGACGTTGTTCTATGTCTCCCATTCAAACGAAGCACTTCAACTTGCTATGTGTCTGTGGTTGGTCAATTCATCTTATGTCATGTTTGGCAAGTATGAGCTTCTGATTGGACAAAATGAATTAGCCTCTCGAAGCTCCACGTACAGAGGGGTATTACAATAACGAAAGGATTTCTCGTGCAAAATGGTACGTATTCTATTCTAATGTTTCTCGATGCTTTTCCACAGGACGCACAGTGTTTTGAACAGAGCGTATCGAAAGAAGACTATACAAACCGTTCATTAGCACACTTACTGTCTTGTATCTATGCTCCTTACCTTCACACTCTCCCATCCATTTTAATGACGTCGTTCTATGTCTCTATCATCAAAATAGGTGGTGCTCTCGGCCTCCTTGCTGACTCGAAATGGCAAAGGTACAGAAGCATTCATGTGGATATTTGCAGTATCTATTACTCTTTTTATTGCTTTTATTCGATGCAATGAGCTCATATGAGACTATGGATTATGTCTGTAGTGCTTGTGGCCCGTCAGTTCGTTGAGATCACCCGGATCCGTCTAGAAGTGAGTCGATACACATTGCTCTGTTGTTGTGTTTTTTCTTGACTACTCTTGCGTGACACGTTTCGTTTTTTTTCTATGAAGGGCTTGCTTGCGGCATTCCCTAAGCTGTTGTCAAGTGGCTCGCGCGAGCACACGTTCATTGACACGGAGAGCGTTCGCTACGTGTATCAACCTCTCGAGAGCTTCTTTGTGCTCATTATCACCAACAAGACAAGCAATATTGTGGAGGATCTGCACACGATTCAGTTGCTGTCCAAGCTTGTGCCGGATATATGTGCACCCCTGAGCGAGGCTTCCATCCGTGACAAGCAGTTTGAGCTAGTATTCGGTTTTGACGAACTCATCACGGCTGGTGGCCACTCAGAAAACATTAATGTTCAGCAGATCCGCGTCAACATGGAAATGGAGAGTCACGAGGAGAAATTGCACAACATGATTCTCGAGAGCAAGCGCGCAGCGGCTAAGGATGACATGAAGCGCCACACGGCGCGAATCAAAGAGGAGCAGCGCGAACGTGCAAGAATGGAGCGCGCAGGAATGGGTGGCAGTGGATTTGGATCGCAGAACTCGTTTAGTAGTTCTTTTAGCAACACGTTCAAGTCGCCACGTAGTGGAAGTAGTAGTGACAGCTTTATGAACAGCCCCAAGTCGCCCGCTGCAACGTCACCGACCTCATTTAATAGCCGCCCAGAGCCTGGCGTGTCGAAGGCTGCGGGTATGAAGCTGGGAAGCTCTGGTAGTAGCAAGGGCATGGGCCTAGGTAGCGGCGGCAAGTCATTTATGGATGCCATGGCGGCTGAAGATGGACTGAAAGAGATACCGCCGATGAGCGTGGCTGTTGAGACAGTGCAGAAACCTGAGATGGCTGTTGCGGTCAGCCACGATCCGATTGGTGCTGTAGTGGAGGAAAAAATGACAGTAGTGCTGACCCGCGATGGTGCACTTGAGCAGCTAGAAGTTAAGGGCAGTATGTACGTGTCAGTGAACGATACAAGTGCTGGCTGCTGCCGCTTAAGATTGCAAACAGGTGGTGCGGAGGGTATTTCATTCCAAACGCATCCTAAGGTGGACAAGAAGCTGTATGACAGCGAATCAGTTTTAGCTCTACGGGATTCGTCGAAGCCATTTCCTTCTTCCCGTGTGGCATTCCTTCGGTGGAGCTTGAAGACACAAGACGAGTCGATGTTACCTTTAAACATTACTTGCTGGCCTGAGGAGGAAGGTAATGGCAAAATGAATGTCAGTGTCGAGTACTCATTAGACCGCGACATGATGCTGGATAATGTGAACATCGTCATTCCACTCGGAGGCTCTGACGCGCCGAACGTCGCCAATGTCGATGGGCAGTACCAGCACAACTCGGCTGAAGGCTCACTGCTTTGGCATCAGGATCAAATTACACCTGCGTACGTATTTGTCATTCACTGCGCCATACGTGTGCGTGCTGTGACTCATTACCTCACTTTTGTTCTTTTAGCAACAACTCAGGCACACTGGAGTTCACAATTCGTGGTGGCGACATTGATGCGTTCTTTCCTATTTCGGTCTCGTTCTTTTCGCGCAGCGTGTATAGCGATGTGCAGGTGGAGTCCGTTGATAAGATTGAGGATGGCTCGCCGATTGCGTTCGGATTTGAAAAGCTGCTCTCCACAGACTCGTACCAGATTGTTTAGAATAGCTGCTAATGGCAGGCGTGACTGCTGGGTTAGCGCAAATGCACTTCTGTTAGACGCTATTCCTGTCAGCTTCGTAATGCGAAGGTGCCAAAAGTCTCAGAAACCGATTCAAATGAAAGCGAACCTGTGTGTTTTTTATCGATAGATGTGAATCCATCGCACCTGAGTTGACATCAAGTATAGACAAGTTTTAAATGGATGCGCTAGGTCGAAAGACTTGCGGCTGCGAGGCCTTGAGCAGCTCCTCCGTCTTTCCACGCAAACAGCGTTCCAGCATTCTCGTAGCTCGCTCACAACGTCGGATATCTTGCTGCTGTTTCTGTGCTGACTGACGGCATCCTACCCACTCGAGCAATGGTCTTTTACATAGCGCTCTACTGACACAGTTCAAATACTCGGCATACAGCACCTGCGACGGCTTGTGCGAAGTTGCGCCTGTGCTAGAAGAGTCGTCTAGGTTGGCATTAAGCTTATCCGTGTTTAACAAGGCGTTAAATGCCTTGTCGCAGGACCTTAGTCCTTGGTACTTGCCACTGAGTCGACGATCAGTCATTAATGCATGGTCTTCACTCTCTCCAAGTGTACCATCAAGCAGCATCTAAACGTAGTGAGAAACGAATTATCCAGCGTGAGAAGGATCGATATACTAAACCTCCGAAACAGACTTGGATAGTAAGAAAGCTGTAGCCATTCGAGAAAAACTATGATGCAAGTTGCATAGATAAAGAATACCTCATGAAGACGCATAGTGGACATACATTGGGGCAAGATGGCGTCGTTCATAGTGACCAAAGTGAATGGAGAATGACATGTTGTGTGACGTACATAATTAATTCTACAGCACTACAAGCTGGTGTTCTTCCACTACAAGACACTTCGAGAGGACTGAGCATGGCGAGGAATCCGCGGACCTTCACTGTCATCACTATCATCATCGTCTACTTTATATTCTTCGTCGTCAATGCTATTGATCGTCACGCGAGCCACCTGCTCGAGACTGCTGATGTTAATGTAAGGCTGACGAGCGCGTCGGAACACGCGTTGGTAGAGATACGCTAACGTTACCACGACGATCATAGCACATGAACTTATGGTGAGGTATCCAAATCGAAGCAATGAAGATGACGTTTCTCTGCCATTTGAACTAGATCCTGTCGTAGCCAAAGCGGTAACGTTTGGAGTCTTGCCGAAAGAAGAATCCTCGAGTGTTGCGTCCTGGTCGTCATCGGATGCCGCCATCTTCGACTCATCGTCCAGCGCAGTCTCGTCGCTTTCTCCGTTGTCTTGACTGCTTTTTGCTTCGTACTTGACATCTAATTTGTCATTTTCATCAGTTACCTGGGCATTAGCAGGCTTCGTCGTCATCGCCATCTCATCGCTTGAGTCCTCGGTATCCCCGCTGTCCTCGCTATCCTCGCTGTCGCTTTGAGACGACGCAATCAAAGCGACAAGTGACGATGGTGTATGCAATGGAGATACGTCAGCCGACGTATTTGACAAAGCGACATCCGTCTGCAAGCTCTTTGTTATATATACAGTGATGACCTGTGTAATGAAGCCATTTGCACGTCAGCATATTAACCAACAGGCTCAAGTCGCATATTACACGTACCCGAGATGTCCAGTCAAGCGTAGACTTCACGCGATGTCCATTCCATTCAAGTTTCCAATCTAGGTTCGTTCGAGCATTCACCAAATGCGACTGCGGTGGCACCCGAGGTGAGGGTGCATCGTCACCGTCGCCATGCTTTATCCAGTCCTATAGGACGTAATATAGGCGGAGTACGAATCATATAACGTGACATCGTTTTAGTTCCAATCAAGGCATACATACAATCACTGCAGTTCTCTTACCTGGTCGACAGTTGCTACAGCTCGAATGTAGGCCATATTCGACGTGACATTAGCCAAGTCCAAACACGTAACGAATAGTGATGTTCCCACTATCGTTGCGTTAGCAGCTGCAGCCTGCGATGAATTGGATGCAAGCTCATAGAATCGCCGGGTGGTACCCTTTTGAATTGTGGTCCTGATTAGAACGCTGTTGTTGTCGAACGATGGGGTGGAAGATACCTGAACATAAGTGCTGTCCACTGTAAGTGCGCCAAGCACTTCCCAAGCGATCTGCAGCTTTGAGTGTCTTCCGTCAATCACGCTGCAGTCGGCGACATTGCACGTTGTAACTTCGTTGCGCTCCCACGCTAGAGCTCCACAACCCATCTCAGTTACTTGATTAGTGTTTGTCGTGTATAAGCTTGCTGCAGGAAAGAAACTCGACACGTTTTGAGTGCGCGTCACGGACGACCCCGCACTATCCACCCAGCGCACAAAAGGTTGAACCATCTCAATCATCATAAGTGCCAGGCGGACATTCCGTGGCACGTGCCCTATAAACTCCGTCATGACTCCTTCAGTTCGGAAGAAATCAACGTTTGCTTTGTATAGCTCCTCATACTTTCCCAACTCAACAGCTTCAGGCTCCTTCCTGTCTGATGTTTCTACTAGCATATTGAACGCGCGGTTGGTAATGTTGTTGTACGTAGTCTTCTCCTTCAAATATCCTCCAAACGTTGTCGGTTCACATGGACGGAAAGGTTGCAATTTTTTGTCGTAAAACTGATTCTCCCACGAGGCAGCGTAGCCCCAGTCTTCCATACCACCAGTGACGCCATACACAACGTCATTCATTGTTCCCGTCGGATACAGTTTTCCATCCGGGAAGATACCTGCAAAGTTGGCCAATGTGTTGCCAATCTGAAATTGAGCCATATGATCTGGAGATTTCTCACTCGGATTATTCTCGTTGCCACGCAGATAATGATCCGGCGAGCCCCACTCATACGCCACTGCTCTAGTTCCGCCATGAAACGTCACTGCCAACTGGAAAACATGGTCTCTCCAAATTTCGTTCACCACACGAGACGTCATCGCCTTCATACAATCCACGCCAGACCTCATGTAATTATAGTCTCGGTTTGGATCCACTTCCAACTCCCTGCGACATTTGCGTGAGTAGCCGTAAGCGTTCGTCATTGGCATCACCAGCACGTTCCGAGTGTTCACCAGCTCTTTCAGCCAGCGCTGCGTGTCCACCGTAGGCTTCATCTTATCGTCCGTTTCGTATATGGATGTGGCATGTGCAAATAATGCAACGAGCTCGATGGCTGCATTGGGGCCAACACGTTCGTCACCATGCAGCGCTCCACTGATGAATACTTCTGGTCTCTCCGGGTCACTTACCAGCGTCGAGTGGTTAGTTATGTGTACTACAAACTGCTTGCACAGCTCCGTTGCATTTGTCTTATCGTCTATAATGCATTGGAGCTCTGGGGGGTAAGGCAGATGATACGTTTCTTGGGCCACTGACACTCGCACGACATCTGAATATGTTGCGTTGAGCTCCAACAGGTACTTGGCCATCTCGATATACGTCCTGTAGTTCATCGGAGACAGTGGCATCTGTTCGTCGGAAAAAACAACGTCATGAAGACGCGTGCCTAGTGCTAACAACAGACAAGCACGGAGCATGACCGACGTCAGGAGGCAATAAATGACACGCGGCGGAGAGTATTGTCACAATGATTTTAATACTACGAGCTATTGTGGTCTCCGAAATTAGTTTCTGTGCGACGAGCGAGCCCAAACTTGGGTCAAAAACATTTGTTTGACTACATTTTCCTTTGTTTACGCTCTTTAGATTGTCGCAACCGACTCGCTGGTTAAATATGAATTCGTCGTAATACGTGAAATCTCTTCGGACGGATGGGGAAATTCCAAATCCAAATGGTCCGGGCAGTAGCCACCACCGATGACCCACTTGTTGCAGTACGCAAATGAACACTTCTTGCCGCCACCGTGGCCCTTGCAATAGCCCCCCGCCACGGTCTATCGCACTGCAATTGCTCTCCTTACATTTCGTGCCACCTCCGTGACGAATGCATAGCCCTTTGCCTTTTTGCTTGTTTGTACACCCCTCATGTTGACATAGCTTACCTCCTCCGTGAGCTTTGCAGAGTTTGCGGTTCTGTGCTGCGCGGTCACAGTTTAGCACACTGCACATGACCTTACCGCCATGGCCACGGCAGCGCTTGTTCACCTGACGAATCTTATCGCAGCCTTCCACAACACACTTGCGTCCACCACCATGGGCGATGCAGTGACCTCCGCCAAGGTCATACTTCGTGCACCCAAGCGTTTTGCAACGCTTTCCAGGACCCTTGTGCTCCAGACAAATGCCCCCGCCAAGTGCCCAGTTCTTGCAGCCATCAGCTTCACATTTCTTGCCACCTCCGTGGGCCTTGCAAAACCCGCCACCTCGGTCTACTTTTGTGCAGTCCTTTGTCTGGCATTTCTTACCGCCACCATGCGAAATACATCGGCCGCCACCGATATCTCGTCTCTTGCAGCCTTCGTGTTGACAAAATCTGCCACCGCCATGTGCTTTGCAATATCTGTGTCAAAAAAAGACACAAAAAGCGTCGAGCATAAGTCGTTTCAAAAAAGCACAGCCAACAGTCACACAATTGCCGTTCTTAAGTCTACTCACCCTCCTTCCATCCTCTTGTTCTCACAACCTTCAATGGGGCACAAAGGCTTTCCGCCGTGTCCTGAGCAAAATCCGTATCCCTGGACCTGTTTCTCGCATCCTTCCTGTTTGCACTTTTTACCACCACCGTGCTTAATGCAATACCCAACTCCTTGATTAAACTTATTGCACTTGGGGTGTTTGCAGAACTGACTAAGCTTATGAAGAGCGCAACGCCCGTCCAAGCCTGTTGCAGCGCGCTCACATCTCGTACGACCTTTGTTATAGTATCTACAGCGATTTTTGGACGTAATAGGAACAGCCATATCAGCTGCTAAAATTGTTGCCTCAGCTTGTTGGATGCTGTGATCATCCTCTGCTGTTATACCTGGAGACGACAATTGCAGCACCCCGGTCTCCATAGTGACAGTATCCTCTACCTCCGTTTCTTTCTGCTCCTGCTCTGTCTGAGCAAGCAGCATCCTGGCAAATTCAGCTCCATCATGATCGATCTCTGGCAGCCCATCAGGCCCCACGAACGACGTACGAAAGTCTAACTCATATGACTGCGTCGTCGACAGGTCAGCTGCATTGATGGAATGAACAGACAAAAACAGAAACGTTTACAGGTACTCCAATCCATTCCCAACACTTGAATGACCAACCAACAGAAGTTGCATGTTGTTACTTACGCATTGATGTCTGGATGTTCGTGTCGTCCGGCCGCATGCCATGCGGAAAGCGTAGATAATCGTTTTCACGATCATTGGAGGGGCCACTGTACCCAAGGTACAGCCACATCGGCGGGTATGTACAATACACACCTCTGTGTAACTCCGTTACATCATCGTCATTGCCAAAGATCTCAGCTCTCTGTTTGTCATTCGTATGAATACGAATGTCAGGATGTGATGATCTCTTCGCTAAGACCAGTGGTCGTAATTGCCGTGCGTGTCCGTTTGACAGCAGGACGACCCAGGATCGTTTTGTGCATAGCCTGATAAATTCCTTATTCAACCGATGTACGTTCATATCAATCGAAAGACGACTCACTTCCTCCGTATCTAGCAGTGTACCGTCCATGTCAAAGATAGCGCCATACACTTTTGGCTTCAATACGATAGCCTTTGCGGCCATGATATCAGTCCGTACGTTTGTATAAAGATGAAGAATTTTTATGACAAAAAGATGGTAATCATTTGTCCTATTCAGTAGCCTTGTGATAGATGTTTACGGCGCATGATATCGAGTTTCACACGAATAAATAGCAGCATGTAGTATGCTATTGCTTGAGCCTTGATCCATCATATTATTGCAGCTCTCTATTGCATTCGTAGATAGCTACAGACTTGTAGACTTGCCAGCTGTCTGGTCGAGTTATGATTCCATGAGAAGCATAAGAAACGCTAACAATCCTCTTTTCTGTATCATACGTCATTGTAGCTCATTACTACGTGACTCAAACCATTTCGTTTCTGACATCGTAGCCATTATAGTGTATCTACTGCCATTCATGGCCCTTGCGCTAGCTCCCATCAAACTGCTGGCTCCTCACACAAGCATCAAGTGACGAGCTGTATCCGTTTTTGGTGGAAGCAGGCAACGAATTGTCAGATAATGGCCTCTACTTGGGCGTATGTACCGCCGACATGGACTTGACTGCAACCGTCCAGGCTTTGTCCACCTACCAAAACTAGATGACGTCATATTCGCACCTGCAGCTCAAGTCGGTCGACGAAAGTCTGTTGCACCAGCCTCTGTGCCTGCCCCAGCCGGATGATAGCACGCTGCTGTCGACATCGACCTTCCAGGACCTCTCAAAGCAGCGCATACAGTTTTTTAGCGCATCTCAGTGGAAGAACCTAGTATCAGGCCGGCAGCAGCGCTCTTACCCTTGTGTGGTGTCGTCGCAGAGCCCCACGAGGTTGGACTCACCTGTAAGTTTACCGCTTGGCAATGATGGAAGAGGTCTGATCGAATGAGATTTTGAATGGACCAGTGAATAACCTCACGGAGCAAAAGAGAAAAAGATCCGACGACGCGCACAAGTGGCAAAATTAGCGAGGAAGCACTGCAACCGGCATTAGGAAGAGTTGGCGAGACTGAAAAATCAATGCAAATGCTTAAAGAGCAGATGGCCATCTTGACACACCACAAAGGATCTAGCTCGCTCATTGGCACCAAGAGGGCGCAGAAAGTCACTACACAACACCGTAGACGTAAGAAAGTGAACGAGGTGCAAAATGAAGAAGAAACGATGGATGAAGGTGTTGTTATCGTGTCAAGATCTCTTCGCACAAATCCTTACCCCAATACGAGTACCATGGCTTACCTGTTGCCGCATTAAAGCGATCACCTATGCTGCATTGCTGACAAACGGATGGCAATTGAGAAACAATACATTTGTAGCTGTACAGGAACGTGTACCTTTGATGGGCATAAATAATTGTAAAAAGGCCTGATCTTGAGATGAAGCAACTGCATGACCAACTTGTATCAGACTTGGCCCACTACGAGGTCGGTGACGCCCACTGGAACTCATTCTCGAACTTCATGTTTGACGTCCCTGAGGGATTTCGATGTCATGTGACCTGTGAACGACTCAAGCAAGGGTCAGCTCATCCACAATGGGGTTGCATGGTTGATTTTTACTCTTGCATCGGGTTCGACGAGACTTCCGCGACGACTACGTCATGTTCACGTAGGAAAAAGTAGTTGTCAATTGAATTTAAACCTCATCTATCGGACTTGACTATCTCGACAGTTTCGATTTATCACTGTGTTTGGCAGCGCGATGCTAAAGTTAAAACCTTGCGAGACTTCGTTGCCACCACACACCGTAAACCACGGGCGTCATAACTCACCCGCGTAGCTGGTGAACGCGGCATTTTTGACGGTTTGTGTTGCAATACCGACTATCAAAGGTATGCTTGAGATATGCTAGTGAAAACACATTCAGAGCTGTGCTAAAGACAAGTTATCGTGAACTAGGCACGTTCGAGTATATTACAACTAATCCTTCGAATAATTGCTCGCTGGAAATGATGGCAGGTGGTTGGTTGCAACTCTAAGAGCCACTTTTGTGTGATCCGCACAAAGCATGAAACAGGACGTTCAGATTGCGTTTGAACTACAGAAAACTTCCTTGTGGTAGCTGTTCGTTTGACTTTTCAGCATATCCTCATTTGCGGCATCAAGAGAACCCGCTAGAAGTTTGATTTTATCAGTACATTAAAGACCAAGTCAAAAGCTGTTTGTTCTCTATTACTAGCCAATCATAAGCCGTCATTACTACGATGAACCAAAGTTGCCTCGAGAGTAAAGAGCAACGTATGCGCCAGAGTATTCTGTACACTGTCGGCCGCATCTGCGATGAAGAAGGTATTGTTTCTTATCACTTCGTGCGTACTTCTCCATTCTCATTCTTACTTGTTTTTTCGTATCTTTTGTGATTTCGCAGTGCAAAAGCAACAGCACGGGCATCGTGCGCGCACTAGACCTAGCATGTCTAAAGAGGCCATGGCGTTGCTGGCTGACCTTGTCTATAAACAATCCGAAGGTACTTAAACTAGTTTTTAATCTGTTTCATTCAATATTCTAAGGTCTGATTGTAGTGATGGCTACAGAGCTGCAGTTTTTCGCGCGCCATGCTAACCGAAAGATCATCAAGTCAGAGGACGTCATACTGTGTGCCAGAAAACACCCTAATCTGGTGACTGTTTTGATGCTATCTGAAGAGTTAAGACAAGGCTTGTTGAAAACGCTAATTCATGCTGTTGACATGTTGCAGACCAATCTGCTGCAAAAATATCAGCGAGAAACTTGTAAATCTAGTTTGGTGCCGTCAACGAGCTCCAAAAAAAGACGCAAAAATTTTGCAGACTTGGATAAACACCACTGATCTAATGTTAGACTTTTCATGTTGCTTTGGCTATAGTTACGACTGATGTGTTCATGAAGATCACTAGCTCAAAGGTTACTCAAATGGGACGCTAACCGTTTACGACATCTTTATCGTTTTGGCGTTGTTTTTGAGTTTTGGCCCTTTAATGGTTTTACATCGAACACGACGGCGGACTTCCAAGAGTTGATGGTGCTGTTGGTCGCTTGCTGGTCAGCAGGTTTGGTCATTCTCTAAACTTTCAACTCGTTAAGTAGGGCTTCACAATTAGCGACAACGATGACCTGCTGAGTTTATCGCATTCAGTCCCAACCTTTCGTAAATCATGTATGCATTTCATATGCGACAAAATCTATGTTAGACTTCTCTTGGTAGATCTAGCAGCTTCTGGGCTCTGGGGGAAAAGGATGCATGTAAGTATTGAAAACGGGCACCGGCACGGGATTGCTTGTACTTTCACTTAAACACCTGACATTTCAATTGCAGGAGAGTTGCTATTTGTGCTATTGTCGGTACAGAAAATAAATGAAATATTAATGAGCATAAAGCGTGATGTTGAATCAGTGCTGGCAGCAGAATAGCAAAATTGGCTATCGAATGTTTGACCCAGATTTACACAAAGGTGCACACCTGTTAGTTACACCATTATGGTGTGGCTGTACCTTGGGTACAGTGGCAGGTTGATGTGACCGTACCTAAGGTACAAAGAGTCGCACCGTGGCAGAGAGCCACGTGGTCACTATATTGACTATGCATGTTTACCTATTAATAGGCTAGAGAACCAGTAAATAGTGACTAGCACTAAGTATAGAGCAGGTGCTTCTATATTTAGTGCTTGAAGATAAACATTCAAAGAAATCAGTTTCAAACCTGATCGGAGTAACATACGTGCTAGTGCGTTGTAGGTCTTTGCAAAAGAAAGTGTATCTTGGATACTGGTCGATTGGAGACTTATTTGTTTACAACCAAAAGGCCCAAGCTCATTAAGCGAGCCTTTGGAAGGTTAATATCCTTAAGACGTAAAGCTCTTGAGCTTGTCTTTCTCTCTGCACGTAGTGCATAAGTAGCTTGGCTACAGTAGCTCGGCTACACCTGGTAGCACTTGTAGTCATTCTTGCACCTGGGTTTGCGACTACTTCTCTGTGTGAGAATGGACATCGATGAGATGTCCATGTTAGTTCAGTCTCAGGCACAACAGGACGGGTTGCAAAAGATGCCGTCTATCCTTGGCCCTAAAGGAGTGAAGTATCTCATTGCCCAGGGCGAACAAGAGGTTAATAAGCGTATTCATATGCTTGATGAAAATAATAAAGCTCTAGTCAAGCATGTAAAGGCAAAGATACCTTCTTTTGCGCCTTCGCCCATGGCGACTATGGACCAAAACCCATAGAAATGGAAGTCGTTAAGTTCGACGGCAAAGAAGGTGATACCCTTATGATTTGGTTCCGACAGGTTGAGTCGGCTATGTTTATAGCCGACATCACTTATGAGCCGTACCGTGTGGGCTTTGCCAAGGCAAGTTAGGTGGCTTAGCCAAACAGTGGACCTTCACATGTACTGCATCATTGCAAGATGTATTTCCCACATGGGCCGATCTGAAAAATTCATATGACCCGGCAGTATGCACCGCCAAACCAAGCACACCGTAATCGGTCGCGGTTTTTGGCGTGTCGCCAAGGCAAGCGTGAGCTTGCGGCATATGTACAAGAGTTGAGAAATCTTATATCTGCCATGGTCATAGACCCTATGCCTGAGGCAGTGACCGTCACGGTCTTCATGGAGGGCCTCCGAGTTAGCGTTTCCAGAACGAAAGTCTTACGGGTAAACCCGTCCTCATTCGAGAAAGCTATCGGAGTGGCATGGAATGCCGAGACCACCTTTAAGGCCGCTAGGCCTGCTACTTATAACTACTCGTCTGATGGGTCTTTACGCGTGGACTGTAGCCAAGTGGAGGTTGAAGAAGCTGAGCTTCATGCTGCGGAGCAGCGCATTGTGCGCAGATGTTATATCTGCAAGAGCACAGGCCATTTGATGGCAAATGTCCTGCAAGAAAGGCATATTTAGCCTCGGAGGGCCGACGTCCTATGGGTAAGCCTTCTGGCTTGCCGCGGGGAAACGGCGGAGACCAGTAGGCGTGAAGCGCCCTACTGGGAAAGTATTGAGTTTTGAGTATTGAACCTCTAAGAGGTAGAAGTAAACAGGGCCCAGCCCCAAAGAGATCCGAACTCTCAAAACCGGAACGAGAATGCAAGCCAGGCTTGCTAGTCGTCGAAGGGACGAGTAAGGGCTATGATAAGCCATGGATCATTTTGATGGATTCGGGGGCATTGGGAAACTATGTGCGCCGTGCCACCGTAGAAGGTAGTCAGAACTATGCTGAAGCGCTTGTAGCGCGTGAGAGTGACACAGTCACAGTTCGCTTAGCGACGAGTACGCGTGTTACGGTACCCAAAGTCCCGATGGACTTAAATGTAAAGCTCTTGGACTTTTAACAGCATGGTGCGCTTTTTGGTCTTAGACCTGGATGCGGTATGACCTCATCCAAGGCATGGCATGGCCTAGAACATCATGAAGCATGAATTGATTGGAGGTCGAAGACCTTATGTGCAGCGCGCAATGCTCCTGGTAGGGCTCTGGAGAGTCACCACCCCACCTCTGGTAGGAAGCAAAAGCACTTGTGGCGTGGATGTTGGCCGAATGTCGGATGTCGGGTTATCTAGCTCTGCAGACACTGTAAGAATCGAGGACAATAGGCCTGGGCGAGGCCCACGGACTGTCGATAGTGTGGTTGAGAACCTACTAGAGGGGAAAAAAGAGAGGGGGGGGGGGGAGGGGGTTAAATAAAAAAAAAAAAAAGGGGGGGGGGGGGGGGGGGGAAGAGAAGAGGGGAGGGGAGGGGGGGAGGGGAGAGGGGGGGGGGAGGGGGGGGGGGGGGGGGGGGGGAAAAGAAAAGGGAGGGTTTTTTTGGGGGGGGGGGGGGAGGGGAGTGTGGGGGGGGGGGGGGGGGGGGGGGGGGGGGGGGAAGGGGGGAAAGGAGTGTTGTTTGGGAGGAGAGAGGGGGGGGGGGGGGGGGGGGGGGGGGGGGGGGGGGGGGGGGGGGGGGGGGGGGGGGGGGGGGGGGGGTGGGGGGGGGGGGGGGGGGGGGGGGGGGGGGGGGGGGGGGGGGGGGGGGGGGGGGGGGGGGGGGGGGGGGGGGGGGGGGGGGGGGGGGGGGGGGGGGGGGGGGGGGGGGGGGGGGGGGGGGGGGGGGGGGGGGGGGGGGGGGGGGGGGGGGGGGGGGGGGGGGGGGGGGGGGGGGGGGGGGGAGAGGGTGAAGGGGGTTTTGGGGGGGGTGGGGGGGGGGGGGGGGGGGTTTGGTGGTTGGGGGGGGGGGGGGGGGGGGGGGGGGGGGGGGGGGGGGGGGGGGGGGGGGGGGGGGGGGGGGGGGGGGGGGGGGGGGGGGGGGGGGGGGGGGGGGGGGGGGGGGGGGGGGGGGGGGGGGGGGGGGGGGGTGGGGGGGGTTGGGGGGGGGGGGGGGGGGGGGGGGGGGGGGGGGGGGGGGGGGGGGGGGGGGGGGGGGGGGGGGGGGGGGGGGGGTTTTTTTTTTTTTTTTTTTTTTTTGGGGGGGGGGGGGGGGGGGGGGGGGGGGGGGGGGGGGGGGGGGGGGGGGGGGGGGGGGGGGGGGGGGGGGGGGGGGGGGGGGGGGGGGGGGGGGGGGGGGGGGGGGGGGGGGGGGGGGGGGGGGAGGGGGGGGGGGGGGGGGGGGGGGGGGTGGGGGGGGGGGGGGGGGGGGGGGGGGGGGGGGGGGGGGGGGGGGGGGGGGGGGGGGGGGGGTGGGGGGGGGGGGGGGGGGGGGGGGGGGGGGGGGGGGGGGGGGGAGGGGGGGGGGGGGGGGGGGGGAGGGGGGGAGGGGGGTGGGTGGGGGGGGGGTGTGTTTGGGGGGGTTGGGGGGGGGGGGGGGGGGGGGGGGGGGGGGGGGGGGGGGGGGGGGGGGGGGGGGGGGGGGGGGGGGGGGGGGGGGGGGGGGGGGGGGGGGGGGGGGGGGGGGGGGGGGGGGGGGGGGGGGGGGGGGGGGGGGGGGGGGGGGGGGGGGGGGGGGGGGGGGGGGGGGGGGGGGGGGGGGGGGGGGGGGGGGGGGGGGGGGGGGGGGGGGGGGGGGGGGGGGGGGGGGGGGGGGGGGGGGGGGGGGGGGGGGGGGGGGGGGGGGGGGGGGGGGGAGGGGGGGGGGGGGGGGGGGGGGGGGGGGGGGGGGGGGGGGGGGGGGGGGGGGGGGGGGGGGGGGGGGGGGGGGGGGGGGGGGGGGGGGGGGGGGGGGGGGGGGGGGGGGGGGGGGGGGGGGGGGGGGGGGGGGGGGGGGGGGGGGGGGGGGGGGGGGGGGGGGGGGGGGGGGGGGGGGGGGGGGGGGGGGGGGGGGGGGGGGGGGGGGGGGGGGGGGGGCGTAGCAAATTACTTGCACAAGTATAGCCACAACTATGCGGAAGTGGCTAGGTCATTGTCCAATCTCCTTAAAAAAGATGTGGAATGGTGTTACTACACCGAGCACCACGACGCTTTGAAGCCATCAAGGAGATTCTCCTTTAGGCGCCAATTCTGGCTCTACCTGATCCTGATCGCCCGTTTAGCGTTGTATGTGGCGCTTTGGTCTTTGTCATTGGCAGTGCACTTTTTGCAAGCTGACTCAGAGCGCCGGGAAGGCGTCATCGCGTTGGAGTCTCGCCAGCTGAAGGTTGCAGAGAAGAACTAGCAAGTTCATGACAAGGAGCTACTTGCGATGTACTATGCCCTTGTTAAGTTCAGGGTACACCTGTTGGGCTCAAAGCCGTTTGTAATCTATACCGATCATGCGTCATTACACACAGCAACACAGTCGCCTCATCTCTTGCAGATAATGGCTCGTTAGCTCTCCTTTTTAGCGGAGGATAACTTCGAGGTGAAGTGTAAGCCGAGAAAACAGAATGTTTTGGCTGACGCGTTATCGAGTAGACCTGACTATGAGCTTGCTCATCTCACTGTTGTGAGGT